TTCCTCGCCGGCCTCCACAGTCTCTTATCGGCTGCAAACCTAATCTGATTCCACGCCTCGAGCCTTGGTATTTGTAATTGGCAGTGACTATTTTTCGTGGTGTTCACATAACAGATGGCGATTCAGAATGTATGTATATGGTATAATAAGAATATAGTATATATATATGTATACAATAAAATTGTAAATTTGCAAAGTATTTAGGGTATTTTAGACTTTTAATCTAATTATTTAGGTTAAAAGAGCTCTTTGACAAGTCAATGGGTATTTAAGTTATTTTGTATGATGTCAGAGTTTTGCAAGTGACGGTTGGAGTGTGAGTGAAAGATGGAACAAACGTTTTGGGTGTGAGTAATAGTAATTTTCGAAAGATATTTCAAGATGATATTTGGTCAAACCTAGGAGGGTGTCACTGAAATTAACTCAAGTCATTTAAGCTCATGTCAGAGATGGTAGGGGTGTCTTTGTTAACTTTATAAAACCTGAGGGGACTTCATTGTTTAAAAAGGGGTTAATTTATACATAACTGTCATTATGACAAATCTCAGGAGGTGTCATTATAATTAACCCAAAATAAAAAATAAAAAAAAAAACAAGTTTTAAGGGAAAAAAAAATAATAAAAATTAATTTATTTTTGGCCCAAATAATTTTTTTTTTTTTTTTTTTTTTTTTTTGACAAACAATGCCTAAACAATATATTTTTTATTTAATGAATTTAAAAAAAAAAAATTTAAAAAAGGGCTCAAAATAACCTATTTATAGGTTTTTCAAAAAAAAAAAAAAAAATATTCTGCCAAAACAATGCTTTAAGGCACTGTTCAGCCACTGTTCCAGAAGTGCTTGAGAATAAAACAAAAAAGGCAACCGAAAACGGCGCCGTTTTGCAATAGAAACAATATATATATTTTTTGTTTTATTCTCAAGCACATATGTATATAACGATCGCCCGTTAGCCGGCCAGCGAGGCAAAATGGGCCCCAAGATTTTAAGCTATCCCGATGCGCATCCAAAGGCCACTTACTCGCGAAAATGGGCCTTTAGCTAACACATTGCGGCTGCTCTAATGGCTAATGCTAGCAAAACGATGTTGTTGAGCCTTTTAAAAACAATCTTCGTCCCACATATATCCCACATATATTGATCTTTTTTATTTAACGTACAATACTTGGATATTTCTCATTTGTTATGATATATCAAGGTTAATAAAAAATACTGTAAAAAGAAATAATGCCCATTAAAAAATGAAATGACCTGACTTCCATTTCTTTTTCATATTTTATAAATCTTTTACTAGTAACTTGTCATAACAAAATTGTCTTATACTATCGATGTACCATATTAGCAGTCTATTATCTTAGATGTCCCAAATTAATTGTTGACTTCAAAATTTCAAATGGGGCTGGCCCTGAGATTGAAAAAATCTTGAGAAGCCCTAAGCGAATTTTAAAAGTGATACCCTTTATACATAATTTTTTTTTTGAGGCCCCTTAAATGATTTACTGCATCTGGTTACAATTTTTTTTTTTTTTTTGGTGGCCCATCATTCATGGGCCTATAAATTTTGAAGGCCCTAAAATGATTTGCTGCATTTGATCACAATTTTTTTTTTGATGGCCCATCATTCATGGGCTTATAAATTTTGAAGTCCCTGCATTTGGTTACAATTTATTTATTTTATTTTATTTTTTTATTTTATTATTATTATTTTTTGGTCGCCTATCATTCATGGGCCTATAAATTTTGAGGCCCTTTAAATTCCAAGGCCATAAGCGACTGCCTTGGGTCAGGGCAGCCCTGATTTTAAAGTAAATAAGTTTTATCTTTCCATTTCATTTATATTTTAAAAAAAAAATTCAAACTTGGTAACTATATATCTATTTAAACTAAAAGGACAAGTTGATAATTTTAAAAGGGGATAATGCATTAATTACATGTCTCCTTAAAAACTCTAATTTGGTATGTTAAAAAATCATTTTATATAAAATATACGCTACCACATATGATTTGTAAATTTTTTTCATCTCTAGCATCTGTTAAAATACACTGTCCGAGCATCTCCAGCGATTTGTTAAAAAATTATTTTTTATAAAATATACACTGGCACATGTGATTTATAAATTTTTTTCATTTCCAGCAGTCTGTTAAGATACACTGCTACATCACCAATGTGTAAAAGGATTGTGTATTTTACACAATACTTTTACACTGCCATATAATTATATTTTATCTCTCCTCCCCTTTACCACTCGTGATTCTCTTTCTTCTCTCTCATTCCTTTACGCCTCTTTGTTTCTCACTGTTTTAGAGTGGAATAGAGAAGAATCTGTAACTGGTGGCAATATAAGAACTGCTCGACCATCTTTTATTTTTTATTTTTAATAAACATAGTTTGATTCATCACTTTCGTTTGATCTTATCTTCTGCAATCATACTGTAGATTCTAGGATTTTTTAAATTTTTTTTATCTTTTTACATTCTATTATAATGAGATAAATATGTAATAACCAAAGATTAGATATATATTTTAATCACGTAGTTTTTACATACTTAAATCTTATTTTATTATTTGTTATAAGTTAGAATTCTGGTGGCGATGACGTAAAAGGTTTGTTATTGGCGGGATGGGAAAGTGAAATATGGGGGGAAATTTTTTTTTTTCCCCTAATTGAAGAGGATTGGGACGTGTGGTTTAATCACCAAAAAGTAAACTGAATAAAGTAGGTTTGTAAAAGTTATGTAGGGCCTTGGGTATGACACGTGGTTGGTTGTTATTGGGGGATAGTTTTTTTTACACAAAAGGTATAAAACAATCGTTGGAGCTAAAAATAGTTAGTACAATTTTTTTTTTTTTTGTGTAAATCTACTCTGGCACATTAGATTTACACAAAAAAATTTAACAGACTGCTGGAGATGTGATGACCTTGTGGGCGGGTGCGAGAGACATTGTCAGGCTACCACACTGGCGAGCTACGGGTACATAGTTCCACATCGCCTGGGTAGAGGAAAGGTGAAGTGCTTATATGTAAGTGTGTCATCTCCAATTGGTATGAGACCTTTTGAGGTAAAGCCCAAGAGCAAAACCGTACGGGCTCAGGCCCAAAACAGACAACATCATACCATGTGGTGGAGTGGGTCGATACAAATGATATCAGAGCCTGACCCAGCCGAAAGTGTGCCGACGGGGACGTCAGGCCTCCAAGGGGGTGGATTGTGATGACCTTGTGGGCGGGTGTGCTGTGGGCAGGTGCGAGAGACACTGTCAAGCTACCACACTGGCAAGTTACGGGTGCACAGTCCCACATCGCCTTGGTAGAGGAAAGATGAAGTGTTTATATGTAAGTGTGTCATTTCCAATTGGTGTGAGACCAACCGTGCGGGCTCGACTCAAAGCGGACAATATCATACCATGTGGTGGAGTGGGTCGTTATTAGCAATGTGTAAAAGGATGGTGTATTTTACACAGTCACGTAAGTATAAGGATGGTGTATTTTACACAGTCACGTAAGTATATTTTCTCTCTCCTCCCCTTTTCCCACTCGCGTTCTCTTTCTTCTCTCTCATTCCTTTACGCCTCTTTGTTTCCCACTTTTCTAAAACTCTATAGAGAAGAACCTGCAATTGGCAACAAGGTAAGAACTACTCGACCATTTTTATTTTTTTTATTTTTTATTTTAATAAATATAGTTTGATTTATCACTTTCAATTAATTGTTGTTTGATACTGTTATACAAATTATTATTATTGTCATTTTATTTATTTATTTATTTTTTTTTGTTGATTAGTCAATTCAATCGCAATTGTTGTTGCATATTTTTGCTTTCTGTACTCGGATTTTTATGCCAGTTGCTACATAGTTGAATCTTATTTTTTTATTTGTTACTAAGTTAGAATTTTGGTGCCGGCCGAAAATGTTTGTTATTAACTGGATGGGAAAGTGAAATATAGGGGGGAAATTATTTTTTTCCCTAATTGAGGAGGATTGGGACGTTGAGGTTTAACCGTGAAAAAGTAAAGTGAATCAAGTAGGTTTATAAAAGTTATGTAGGGTCTTGGGTATGACACGTGATTGGTTGTTATTGGGGAATATTTTTTTACACAAAAGGTATAAAACAACAGTATGTTGGGGCTAAAAATAGGTAATACAAATTTTTTGTATAAATTTATTTTGACACATCAAATTTACACAAAAATATATACACAACGATTGGGTATGCTATAAGAGTACTGCTATTTACCATGACAAATAAAACTCTACTACTTCCACTGAGTTTAATTGCCTACCTATGTGTCAAAGATAATGTGACTCATTTTAAAATATATGGTAATTAATTATTTGGAAAGTTATAGTATATTTTTAGGTTTCATCTTAATATAGCATCTTTGTTGGAAATTAAATTTTCAATCACCATGTGTATGTGTTTTATATATATGTCACATTGCATCTATCTAACTTATAACTTAAGATTGTATCTCCTATGTATATAATTAGATAGGCACTTGTTCATTAGTATAATAATCAAAACTAATGATCTATGTGACTCCAAAAACAAAAATAAAGTGAGGAATTTAAAGAAAAATTGCAAAGTACTGAAAAATTAAAAAAAATTGCAATTTTTGTTCTAGATTTTTTACCAATCAAATTTTTATATTTGAGTACCATAAAAGATAATGTGAAAAAAAAAAAGAAAAAAAAGAAAAAAAAGATGATACAGTTATAGAAATGAGTTATGAAAAACGGAATAGATAAAGAAAGAAAAATTCACGTATTTTATGGAAACAAACAGAGAGTAGTAATGATACTTATTTAAGTTGAAATTTTATAATAATACGTTATATTTTTGCCTCTATTGATTTTAAGTCGGGATATTAAAATTGTTAAAAATTCGGGATATTAAAGTCGTTAAAAATATTATTTCTCAATTTTTAAACATGGACATTTAATAAGGGACGGAGAGTATATGCAACCGAGATTGTGTAGGTTCTCACCCCACCTAAATAATTGTTTAACACGTGATAAGTATAGCCAACTACAATGTTAATTCGGGAATTTCTTTTCACCTCCCTATCATTACTCTTTTAAAAAATTAAATATAACTTTCAATGTTTTGCTTACATTTGCGCGCTCAATTAATGTTTGAATGAACACACAAGATGGACAAAGGAGGTTGCTTCTATGGTTTAAAACGTGGGTGCTTTTTCTGTCTCTCACAAAAATAGATACTGTTCATTGAATTACAGTTCAACCCCATCACTCGATTGTCACGGGAAAGCTCGTGGTGGTGGATTTGATTGTGAGGTTAGGGTACGTAGTGTGGCGCTTCTTTCGACACTTTTTGATATCTGACCTATACATTCATAATTTGTGACTTCCCCAACTACTAAATGTGACTTAAATATTTCACCGGAAACCCCGTGGTTTCATTACACCGCCCTACGCCGACCTCTTCTTCTTTTAACTCCATTACTATTTAGTGTAAAAGTACATTCTCACCCACCTTGTGTATTTTTTTTTTTTTGGCCTTTATTAATACAGTCACACCTCCCACCTTTGTATAATTACACTGCCATCTTGACGTCACTAAAACACAGTCTCTCACACACACACATCACCCAAAAACTCAAAACAACATCTCAATGCACCAACCATCTTCATCTGGTTAAGCAAACCCAAAACCACATCTCCAACAATTAAAAGCATTAGTATTATTACATATCATAGCAAAACCAAACCACCATAGTTGTCTACTCTCTTCACACAGACCCACAAGAGTTTTAGAGAGAGAGAGTGAACAAAAAAGACCCACAAGCAGCTTCAAAGGATTATATATATCCACCTGATTTATCAACCCAAATTTTAAAAAGTTGATTGATAATTTAGACAGGGAGAGAATTATAGGAGAGTTGAGTCAACAAAACAAGTCTAATATATAGTTGCAACATCTCCATGCAAGCAATAAGAATAGGCCTCACAAACTACTGATAATTGCTGATTGATAGTATCGTTTGACCAAAAATTGTTGGAATCAACAACTGATTGGCCGGTGTAATGACACATACGATGAAGCTAGCTTCATGAAAGGTTGATACGAGTGCTCTTAGCTTCATCCATTTAGAACATCATTGTAAACGGTGAAATTTGGAGTCAGAGAGAGATTAGGGTTCTTCTCTCAAATTAGATAGGTGTGAAACCGTGTAATTATGCAAAACGTGCAGTTGATAGAGATTGTATTCATTTTAAATGTCGACAAAAACTCATTAATTTTTTTTTTTTTTTTTTTTTTTTTTTTGATAGCATTGATCTATATTGCAAGTGGAAAAGGCCACTTGTAAAGTGGGTCAATGAGCACATGACTCGCGAGCTGTCTGTATTGTTCTCACATAGACATTAGTCATGTTAGGAGAAAAATCGTCTCCGGACACCCTCTCACTGGAGGGTGCCCATTGCTGATGTGACATGGGTGACATGCTAAGTATGTGCATAAAATATTTATCTCGTACGTATCTAATAGTCTCCTATACGTATCTGTACAAGACATCTGTATAAATACAATCTTAAACTCGCTCTACGCCAGACGGTGATCTTTCTCAGTCCGACGTAATAGTATACTGAAAATGCCCGTTTCTCGGCGACCACTGGATTTTAAAGAACGAGGTGTAGCTGACATTATCGGTCCTGTGGCCGGAATCTGACTCGCCGTCCAACACGAGCAAGCTGCTTTCACTGCTGTCGTCAAATTTTTGAGACCGAGTTGACTCGGCAGCGAGGCAGAGCCTCGACCGAACCCGGAAATTCCGGCGGGTTGACGGGAAGAGAAGAGAGAACAGCCGACGACGAAGTCGAGCACCTTCTTCCCCGGCAAATCTAGGGTTTCGACGGGCGTGATACCGCCGGTGGTGCCCGAACCGTAGAGAATCAAGTAGGGCGGGCAGATCTCTGTACAATTTGTGGAACTGGGTTCGCAATCTTGGCATCGAGATCGAGCATCTGGGTTGTGAATCCAGCCGCATTTGGGGTTTTCACAGTTGAGAATTTTGGAGGAGGAGGACAATTTGGGGATAAAAGAAGGAATGATAGGTGGGTCAGAGGCAGAGAAGGAACAATTTTTGCAGAGGTAACGGTGAGTAAATGGAAACCAATTGAAATCACTGTTAGTGTCCATCAGAAAAGGGATGGTTTGGGTTGGTGTGCCAAACCTGAGTGAAATGGAGTAGCCTCCATAGCTGTGAGGGGTGGTAGAGAGAGCAACAATTGGGGGGTTTTTGAGGTGGTGGGCTCTGGTTAAGGAAGTGGAGGCTAGATGGGTAAGGGTTTGGTATGGATCTAGAGATGGAGATGGCCGGGTTTGTGTGGAAATGAGAGAGAGGGATGGTAATGGTGGAGGACGTTGATGAAGAGATGAGAGAGAAAGCAGAGGAGAGAAGAAGGGGAAGCCATGGTTCTGCCTTCTTTTGGCCTGCGTATAATTTTCGTATATTGTATTTGTATATGTTAAGTATGTATTTTGTCTGCAGTATTTCTACATGATAAAAAAATAAAATTTAAAAATTACTGCTAACTTGGCGCTTTGTTACCGCTAACAAGGCAATAGCATGATAAGGTGTGAGACGTGTCTTCATCCCAACCCATAGATCTGCCATGAACACCCTTCAATAAGAGGTACCATGGAGTGGATTGCAACCCTCGTGTTGGGGCTTGAATCCCTCCAACTTGCAAGAAAAGTCCGTTATGAGGTGAGAAAATAAGACGAAGCCAATGACAATAATTGAAGGGCACGTAATTTTGCAATGCCACTCGTATATGCACCAAATTCCAAGAAAAGTCTATTGTGAGGTGAGAAAATAAGAGGAAGCCATCGACAATAGTACAAGTGTGCGTGATTTTGCAATGGCATCTTTTATGGATAAAATTCTCTTAGGGTTCAAATGACCCCAAAAAAACAAAAAAAAAAATCAAGTGATAACATGATAAGGTGTGGGACGTGTCTTCATCCCGACCCATAGATCTGCCATGAACACCCTCCAATAAGAGGTGCCATGGAGTGGATTGCAACCCTCGTGTTGGGGCTTGAAGCCCTCCAAATTGCAAGAAAAGTCCATTATGAGGTGAGAAAATAAGAGAAGCCAATGACAATAATTGAAGGGCACGTAATTTTGCAATGCCACTCCTATATGCACCAAATTCCAAGAAAAGTCTATTGTGAGGTGAGAAAATAAGAGGAAGCCATCGACAATAGCACGGCAATAGTACAAGTGCGCGTGATTTTGCAATACCATCTTTTATGGATAAAATTCTCTTAGGGTTCAAATGACCCCAAAAAAACAAAAAAAAATCAAGTGGTCCAAGACCTATGAAGGCCCATAATTAGAACCCAACAAAACATACATTTCTAATTTCTTGACAAAACAATGGACCACAATTACAAATGTCCATGAGCAAAGCATATACTATGGTAGACTAACCCTGTCTCCATTTGGATTAGTCTACAATGGTATACGATCTCTTTATCTCCATTTACACATATTCACATTTATTTTTTCATATTTCAATAACTTCTCATAGGGTTTTCCAATTTTATTTTAAGATAAAAAGTCAACCAAAAAAAAAACCTTTTTTATACTTCAGTTTTTGCTTATTTGTCGATTTTTTTCTGTCACGTGTTTTAGAATGTTGAAAATGCCTCAATTTTTTATTACTGTTCCTTGCTTCCATCTTCATTAATGTTCCTCCTTAACATATTGTGTTCTACATATTTAACAATTCTATAATACAGGTTAGAATCTTGAATGATTTTGTTCTTTTATTTTATTTTAATAATTAATATTTTGTTCCGTGAGAAGTATGGAAGATGATTGGAACGCAGATAAAAATGAATGAATAAATTTTTTTGGTTTGATAGAAATGAGACAAGGAGAAAAAGGATAATAAGGCGAATAAGTCATCCTTCATTCTTCGTAGAATTTCATCCCTCTAAATATAGGCGAAAGAGAGAAGGAAAGACAAGAGGAGTGAAGTTTTATATTATAGTATCATCTTTTGTAAATATTAAATAAATTTCACAAATAAAGTAAGTGGTGGATTTAATAATAAAAATAATTTGAATTAAACTCTCCTCTTAAACAAAGTAAATTGTCAATTTCTTCTCTTCTCTTCTCTTTTGCTCAACCGAACAAAAAGAGAGAAGAACACAATATAGGATATCTCATCCATCAGTTCTTCTATCCATTCCATTAAAAAAAAATAATAATAAAAAAATAAATAAATAAATAAATAAAATTGAATAAAAGAGAAAGCTTTATAAAATTAAAATAAGTATGTACAACGTGACAAACTACCCATAGGAAAAGATTCCCAAGGCAGTGTACCACAATTTACAAAGGCATTACATACAATAGAACCATTACATTTACTTAGTAAGCCAAGTATAGAACTGAAAATATCTATCTAAAAAAAGACATGTTTTCATAGAGCGCGCGTGCGCGCGCACACACATATATATAATTTTATTTTGTATTACCCATTATACATTTTCTATTTTTTGAGTTTTAGAAAATTATTTTAAGGTATATAATTTTATTTTGTAGTACCCATTATACATTTTCTATTTTTTGAGTTTTAGAAAATTGTTTTAAGGGATGATGGGAATAGGCTTAATAGTAAGCTAGGTTATTTCATTTTGATAAGATTGACGTACGAAAAAAATAGTATAGGTGCATTTAATGGAGTTCATGACAAAATGTATAAAACCATTAGGTTGTACGCGGTGGTCCCCCCTCTTAAGTCTTATCCCAGGGAAAATGGGGAAAAAAGGGGTATCACGTGAGGAAGGCAACGCTCACTATATAAACCAACATGAGGGTGAAGCTTTGGGGCATCAAATTTGAAACAAAATTTGTATATCGATCAAGCTGTACGTTTAGTACTCGATCATGGCAATCCTTTACACTACTCATGCCATCTGCCCTGCCCTCACTACTACTACTTTTCCCACTAATTTCAATGGCCATTCTGTCACGAGATCATCCACCACCACCCGCCACCTTCTCCCGACTACTCCTGGGAGGAGGAGTTCAACTAGTCCTTCCGTTGTGGGATATTGTGTCGGTACCAGTACCCGCCCTGTCCTGACTACCAGGAGGAGCACTTATATGAAGCCTCAAATTATGAGATACTCAACCACCAATATCCGTCGTCCTGTTCTCGCTATGTGTGCCAGTTCCACAACTGGAGAAGCAGAGGAAATCAAACGTAGCGACTTTCCTAAAGATTTTATCTTCGGAGTAGGATCAGCTTCGTATCAGGTACTATTGCATGCACGTACATTGCTCCGCCTTTAATTTTATAGCAATTGTTCTACTTAATTTTTGTGCATGTATATAACCTAAATATATAAAAGCTTACTAATTAATTTCCAGAGTCATACGTACGTTAACCTATATGTGCATGCATCTGCATTTTGCTGTACTGCGCGTCTTATATTTTTAAAATTATTTCGTTTGCTTTTCTTTCAGATTGAAGGCGCAGTAAATCAAGGTGGCAGAGGCCCTAGTATCTGGGACACTTTTACACATGAATTCCCTGGTCTCTCTCTCCTCCCATTAAAATTCACCTATATATATACATACATGCATATACATATATATATATATATATATATATATATAGTGTGTGCGCGCGCGCGCTAGTGAAGGAGTACAGACCTAAACATTCCTTCATTGTAAATCTTACACATATATATATATATATACTTGTTTGACCTTCCCGGGGAGACAAAAAAACAAAAAACAAAACTCCAATATGGCCAAGAACACCACATTAACCCAGCTTGTGTAGTCCTTTGTGGGCTCTCTACGTACTAGTTCTGACTTATTTCACTAGAAACCTAGAAGCTCCCCTTCTCCCATTAAATAAATATATTCTATGAAATATATACGGAGGATATATATTTTTATTCTCTCTTATTACTATGACAACCAAATAATAAAAAATTTCACAATGGCATTTCTTTTCTTTCATTAGATTGCAAACTAAAAGATCCTTAAATAATTAATCAATGGATCCTAAAAAACAATCATGGGCTTCCAGCATCTTTCCATGCTACATAGCACATGGCCGGCTGCAGTAATTATTTTCTATTAAAGGGCAAATGATAAATTTTTATTAGACGGGAGTACTATATTATCGGTACACATGAATATATATCTAATATTTCTCTTAACAATGTTGAACTGGCACATAATAGAATTACATGAATCCACTTTAAATTCAAAATAAAAAATAAGAAAAATTAATATTTTTCTTTTATACATATTTTGAATTTAAATGGACACATGTCATTCTATCATTGTGCCACATTGATAGTAAAGATGATAATATTCTCATTTAAGGGCTAGTAATTTAACAAATATTGTACATAATTTTTTTTAAGGTACCTGAGAACATACAGGTATTAGGTTACTATTGTGAGTTTTTTTTTTTTGGTAATTAAGTTACGAAGTTATGATTAATTGTGATTTGCATGTGTGTAATATATATATATATATATATGCACAAACATAATTATTTTTCCTTTGTTTTTAAATTGTTGAGACATTATATTTATATATTCATGTATATATTTGAGCTTCTGCTAAGGATACCGGATGTGAGATCCAGCTTCACGTCTTTGACAATATTTATCATAAAATTACAGAAAAGATTGCAGACGGTAGTAATGGAAACGTGGCAATTGACTCTTTTCATCGATACAAGGTACATGTTTCTTTTGAAGTTACCATTTTACACCACATAAGTCATTTAGTTAATCCAATCATTAGGTTTTTTTCCCGGTAAATTAAGAAAAATTACCACGAAATACTGCCATAAATTAAGTCTGAACTTTACTAAATCATTTAACACTTACATTAATTGAGTTTGAATTAGATAATTACAAGAAGATTTAACATTCACTTCCAATTTTTCTCTAACCATGTTGTAGGAAGACGTGCATATAATGAAGAATCTGGGTGTTAATGCCTACAGATTGTCAATTTCATGGTCTAGAATATTGCCAAGTAAGTATCCATCTTTTCTTTCTTATGTATTTATGGGTGGAATTTGAGCTCCATCATAAAGAATTCAAGTGATTAAAAATTTGAGGCCATTCAGCAACTGAAAATTAATTCGACCAAACTTGAGTGTTTCAAAACAAGAGAACATTGTTACATTTGGTAGGACTCATTGATCGAGGTCTTAGTTTGTCATATATATAATTTGATATATGTATTATAATATTGACTATTGTTTAATATTGTGGTTATTTATCAGCTGGAAAGTTAAGCGGTGGAATCAGCCGAGAAGGAATCGAATACTACAATAATGTCATTAACGAGCTCATAGAGAACGGTCATGAATCAACCTGAATTCCTTTATATTTTAATTTTAATTTTAATTTAACTTCCCATCTGTGCATCAACTTGCATAGTTTTAATTTTTCATCTCAAAATATTTATATATATATGCACAGGTATAGCGCCTTACGTGACTCTCTTCCACTGGGATCTTCCTCAAGCCTTACATGATGAGTACGGAGGTTTTTCAAGTGAAAAAATTGTGTAAGTGGCTCAGTTTATGTCCATTGATTCTCCTATTTACCTTGCTAATACATGACTAAGACAGTAAGACTCAAGTGCAGCTATGAGAAATATTAGATAGAAAATATTACATTATCTTTTTTCTTAAATTGTTATAACACTGTAACTAATTAAGACGTTGATCTATCATCAATATATATATATATGTATATATAACAGGGATGATTTTTGTGACTATGCAAACCTATGCTTTTGGGAATTCGGTGATCGGGTAAAGAATTGGATCACACTTAATGAACCATGGAGCTACGCTGTTTTTGGGCATCAACTATGTGCCCACCCACCGGGTGGACTTTATCCGTGGTATATGCATAGTAAATTGAACATGTATGACGTCACACATAACTTTCTTCTTGCTCATGCAAATGCAGCAGCTTTGTACAAGAAGAATTATCAGGTCAATTTCCATCCATTTAATTCAAGTTTTTTTCATCATGCATCTTCTGTATCATTTAAATTAATCTATCAACAAAAAATATAGACTATATATATATGACGATGTTGATATCAGTCCGACATTAAAACTGTTGTGATTAATTAAATACGTAATATTGAATGTTTATAGAAAGTTCAAAAGGGCAAGATGGGGATTGTACTCGTGACATGCTGGTATGAGTCTTATGATAAAGATAATGCAGGGGCTGGGGAAAGAGAAACCGATTTCATGTTAGGATGGTGAGTATATTTTATAAGCTTTGAAGTCCTTTCCCCATACAATTGCAATATATCTAACATTATGCAAGTTGTTCTGCTAGAGAATCATTTTCCATATATTAATTAAATGTGCATGCTTCATTTAAAATTGTGAATATTGTGGGTTGATAGAATATTAATCAACATTGTACTTCCTCTAGCTAAACTTATTGTATAATTGAAGGTTCTAAGTTTGATTCTTCCATTCTGTTTTTTCAGGTATATGGATCCATTGATAAATGGGAAATATCCAAATAGCGTTATAGAGAGAGTGAAAGATCTTCGAGTTTTCACCGAAGATCAACAAAAGTTGCTGAAAGAATCATATGATTTCATCGGAATAAACTACTATACAGCATATTATGCACTCGACAAAAATAAATATCAGCCACCTCCTAATGGTTTTGACGATGATTATGTGGAACCATTTATCTATCATCCGCTCTCTGATGTTTTACTCACAAGTAATTAGTCCTAAAATAATTCTAGCTAAGTCTTAGATTTGAACTTCTAATATTTGTAATTAATTCCATACTAATTAAAATGATCCATAATATATTATTGCTTGTAGGTCGGTGGAGAGGTAAATCAATTGGTGATACGGTAAGCGTTTAGTCATCCTCTACCAAAATTTTTTTTATCTAATTTCGATGGTATAGAAGAAAAAAAAAATAAAAAAACGGGTCAACTTTTTCAGGAGTGAAGAAAATTTCAGAAATGAATGGCTTAAAAGCTAGTGTTTTCATTTATGAATAGAGTATTAATCATCATTTAATTATTACTTATCTTATAGTATTAATAAATGTGATGATGTTGCAGGCTCATTCATGGATTAATGTCTGCCCGCGAGGGTTTGAACAAGTTTTGATAAACATAAAGAATAAGTACAATAATCCACTCATTTACATTACAGAGAATGGTAAGTCTTAAATTTATTTATTTTAAATACGTAGCTAGTATTTGGCAAGATTAATATTGTATAATTTTGAAATAAAATGGATACTATATATATACACATATACATGTATGAAGCTAAATACTTTTGGATCTTGTTGTCTTATTCATAGGGCTAATGGACAAAGATGAAGTAAAAGGTACAACGTTACAAGACGTGTGCAATGATGATACGACGAGGTTAAAGTACCTCCAAGATCATCTTCTTGCGCTTAAAAAAGTGAGAGAGTAAGTTTTCAGAAAAAACTTATTCATGATTAATTTACAGAAAGTTTAGTATTAATTAATATTGAAAATTGTGAAACATTAGGTTTTTTTTTTTTTTTTTTTTTTTTTTTTTTTTTTGCGTACAGTGATGATAAGGTTAACATAATGGCATACTTTGTTTGGTGTCTGATGGACAATTTCGAATGGACTGATGGTTATCTTACTCGTTTCGGCCTCGTCTACGTGGATTACAAGAATAACTTGGGCAGATTTCCAAAAAATTCAGCTCTGTGGTATATGAATTTTCTCAAAGGAGAGTCTGATGAGACTCCAAAGAAAGAGCCAAGTCATGATCATGGTCATCACGACCATGGTCACGGTCATCACGGTCATCACGGTCAAGGCCGCCATTAAAGGAGCATCAAACTCCACCGCCAATATTTCGACCCTCTATCTCATTTTTCAATAAAATAAAAAGTGGTTATGCCCACTGTTTTTTAAGGAGGAAAAAATGTGTTGGTTGGTTGATGATGATACGTGTTTGTTACATTTCTGTGTTAAAACTTGAGCTATAGCAGTTGAAGGAATGAGCCTAGTCAGCTTCACTAGATCAATTGTCAGGGTTTATGAGTATGAGGAGGACTACCTCCTCCTGTGTAGCCCATTATCATCTTTGAATTGGGCCAATTAATAATAAGATCAAGCTCAAGTTTATTACTTGGTTAATTATTATGGAGTTGCAAATCGATCATACAAGGTTTTCGAATTTGCCTAAATATATGTTGTCTATGCGCCTTTGTAACTCATGATGTCATGCATATATAACTTATCCTTATATATATATATATATATATATATATATATATATATATCCTTATTCCTTACATAAAAAGATTGCCGACCCGGACCATCGATCAAAATACAACACTGGCCTCATCCATGTATCGTTGTTCTAATTATCCATTCATATATTGTGTTGGTATATACTATTGCAAGCATGTCAATTTGTGCAATTGAATTGAAAAAACAGAGCTTTGATTGAAAAAACAGAGCTTTGATTCCTACTGTATGTATGTTGATGTGTGTGGTTATATATATATATATATATATATATATATATATATATATAAACAGAGCTTCACTTTTTACTGTGTGTTGGTGTGTAATTTTATATATATATATATATATATTGAAAAAATAGTGCTTCAATTTTTACTCTTTGTGCTGGTGTGTGGTTATATATATATATATATATATATAGTTGGTGTGTAATTATATATATACATATATATATGCATATGTAAGTAAATTGAAAAAATAATGCTTCAATTTTTACTGTGTGTGTTGGTGTGTGGTTATATATATATATGCAATTGAATTTTAAAATGCGGAACTTCGATTCACCACATCTTTATTTATACTCTCTTTTCAAATTACCCCAAAACAAATTAGTATACTCTGCTCAACGAGGAGATGCTCTGCTTAATTGACACCGATCACCATTGATTTTGATATTATTAGGGATGATTATGTTGTTCATCTTGGTTTAAATTGGGAAAAATTCAAATTATAATCTTGTCGACTTGGTCAGCACCTTCAATTTGTTGAGCAAAATCAGGGAATATTTTACTGTTGGTGATTGTTCCAAGAAATTCACCCTCAATGATCTAATAAGGCACGTTGGAGACAGAACAGAGTTGTTCCTTAGTGCCATAATTTTTGTATTGACGGGTTAATTTTAAAATGATACACTAAGCACGGTTTTTGTTTAGAATTTGATGTGCTGATAATTTTTGGTGTTAATGATCTTACTGTACTGATTGATTCGAGTGTGCTAGTATGGGATCGATGTTGTCTGATATGGAGCATTCGAGTGTACTGGTTTATTCAAATTTGTTGTTAAATATATATATATATATGTGTTGGGAGAGATGACAATAAACAAACACAACGGAATAATTCTTTTCCCTATATGCAAGTAAATATAGTATATCACTACTTTTATATGTATTGAAAATAATAGAGAACAAATCAATCACACCAAACCACAAGAACACAAGCAATTTTTTACGTGGAAAACTTCCCAGTGTGAAGAAGAAAAACCATGGGACCTAATCCAGTTAAAATCTCCACTATCAACCAAATAATGGATACACAAAGTCTTCTTTAATCGCAATTAGAGGGTACAAAACATTTCATCTCTACTTTTATATGTGCTGAAAATAATAGAGAACAAATCAATCACACCAAACCACAAGAACACAAGCAATTTTTTACGTGGAAAACTTTCCAGTGTGAGGAAGAAAAATCACGGGACCTAGTCCAGTTAAAATCTCCACTATCAACCAAATAATGGGTACACAAAGTCTTCTCTAATCGCAATTAGAGGCTACAAAACATCTCGGACCATAAGAACACAAGCAATTTTTTACGTGGAAAACTTTCCAGTGTGAGGAAGAAAAACCACGGGACCTAGTCCAGTTAAAATCTTCACTATCAACCAAATAATGGGTACACAAAGTCTCCTCTAATCTCAATTAGAGGTTACAAAACATCTCCGTGGTTTTTCTTCCTCACACTGGAAAGTTTTTCACGTAAAAAATTGTTTGTAATTGCGATTAGAGAAGACTTTGTGTACCCATTATTTGGTTGATAGTGGAGATTTTAACTGGACTAGGTACTATGGTTTTTCTTCCTCACACTGGGAAGTTTTCCACGTAAAAAATTGCTTGTGTTCTTGTGGCTTGGTGTGATTGATTTGTTCTCTATTATTTTCAGCACATATAGAAGTAGATATATACTATATTTGCTTGCATATAGGGAGAAGAATTATTCCGCTGTGTTTGTTTATTGTCATCTCTCCCAACAAAATGGTATCAGAGCTCTAGGCTGACAGATTGCCGGGTTGGCAGTTTGAGTTATGGAAGCAAATACGAGTAGAATGATTAATTTAAATGGTTTAAATTATCACATATGGAAAGGAAAAATGGAGGATCTTCTTTATGTGAAAGATTATTACCTACCGGTGTTTAGTACTAAAAAACCAGAAAACAAATCTGATTTGGAATGGATTTTGTTACATCGACAGGTGTGTGGGTATATCAGGCAGTGGGTAAATGATAATGTTTTGAACCATATTAGTGGAGAGACACATGCACGTTCTCTATGGAGTAAGCTTGAACAGCTATATGCTAGACAGACTGGAAATAATAAATTATTTCTGATTAATCAAATGATGGCTTTGAGATACTAGGACGGGACTCCTTTATATGATCACCTGAATACATTCCAAGGAATTATTAATCAGCTAGCTGGAATGGGTATTAAGTTTGATGATGAGATACAAAGGTTATTGTAATACCCCTAAATTTTTTGAAGACTTTTATTTATTTGTTTTATTTCAATTTATTTATCTACGTGGCTATTTGAATTGTTTGTGCATTTGTTTTTAGGATTTTATTTGTTTGTCATTAAATGCTAATTATTTAGTGTTTATTTATTTCTTTATTTATTTGTTTTATCTACTTGGCGAGTTGAATTGTTTGTAGAGTGTTTATTTGTTTGTGATTTAAATGTAATTATTTAGTAGAAATTTTCTAGGTAGTTGTAATTTTTAATTGATGTGATTTTATTTTATTTTATTTTGTTTATTTTTATTTTTTTGGTTAGTTGTATGGATGGGTAGATATATATATTTTTTATAAATATATATATATATATATATATATATATATATGTAAGTGTTATATATATATAAAAGGGTGTATGCATGTGTGTATATATATATATATATATGCACCATAATGTTAAGGTAATTAGGAGGAAAGTTTTATTATTATAATTTCCAAGGTTATTATCATTATTATTGTTTTTTTTTATGTGCACAGTTAGGTATAAGGCATGTGTGATGGTATTAGTATTACACTATTATATTATTATTATTATTTTTTTCATTTGGACGTATTCATGGGCTGGTGGGCTGGAGGATTTGAAGATTAGAATTAGGTTATTTTATTATTTATATAGGTTAGTGTTATGTCTGTGCATTGAAAAAAAAAAACACAAACAAAACCAGTGAACAGAGAGGAGCGGCGCGAGAGTAAAAAGAAGAAAAGAAAGAGAGAAAGAGAGGAAGAAAGAGAGAAAGAGAAAGAGAGAAAGGAGGAGAGTGGTGCGGCCGGCGGTGGGGGGTGACACTTGGAGCGCAGAGCTAGTCGACGGCGACCCGTAAGTTGCCGGCGTCAAGGGAAAATCGGAGGAGAAAGAGTTGCGATTTAAAATTAAAAAAAAAAAAAAAAAAAAAGGCAAGTCTTCTTCTATTCATTCCCCTAGACTTTGTATGCGGTGCAGATATATGATGATTATAGGGTGTAATTAAAAATAATAATAAAGTTTTTTAATTGCATGATTTCAATCAGATTTTATTGGGTGAAATAAATGTATATATATTAATGTATATATAATTAGTTACTAGTTTGAAATCTAAGGCCTAAAGGGGTCTGTTTTAGAAACTCATGATGGGTTATGGCGGTTTGATATTTGTATATATATTTTGTTCTTGGTTTTCTATTGGGTCTTACAAAATACCACTCTTGGCTGGTAGTATTTTTATGGGTTCTTACGAATTTCTGTGGCATCACAAAATGGGATGTTCTGTTGGGTTAGGAGAAATTCAATGGCATCATGGGTGGTCCATAAATTGGGCATTTACACAGGCTGTTGCATAGTTTTATACCATGTGACTATTTTTATTATTATGCTATTGTCATTGCCGGACTTTGAGTTCATCATAAATTAATGAATATGGTTTAATTATTTACTAACTACTGTACGGTTACGGTGTAATATAATGGAATTTGTTTAAGTGTGCAAATTATTTATTTAATATTTATTGATAGTTACCATGTCATAGAAATTATCTTAGAGAATAATAGGATGTTAATTGTACATGCAACGGTACAAGGCCTTATTTGTATGTTAACTTACTAGTATACTTTTTTTTTTTTAATAGTTCATATTGTTATTTTTTTTTCATAGTCGTTACTATGATTGTTAATTATGCATGAGTTAATGTAAATAAATTTTACTTGCATTATAAGTTAAATGCATGATAAGTATAGAAGCCTTTACCACCACATAAAATACTCAGATAAATTCTAATATTAATGTAGGTGAATTTTAAGTATACATATATATATATAAATGTATAATGAAGGACCATTATCAGTATATGGTCTTAGAAGCACCATTGTTAGGATATGGTTTGCTGATACCTATGTGAGCTGGCTAATAAGCCTAGACTCATATGTTTTGTCATACTATTGTCAGGATATAGTTGTGACTTTTAATTGTGCCATTGTCAGGATATGGCTATAATTACTTACATATGTATATATTGAGAGTGTACCATGATACGAGCTTGAGATCTCGGGATTGATGGTTAGGGTTGGCATATATTGCCGGATGAGATGAATTGCTGGTTATAGGGATGTGTGTGCCCTGGTAGAAGAGGTACTTATGACCATCTTGTATGCGCTTGCATGAGACCTACTATCCGGTTGAGGTTGTCTTATAATCTAGTAAAAGTCTATAGTGTGTATACTTATGTATATTGACCTACATAGCTATTGCATGAGTCAGACTAGGATGGACTGTTTATCGGGTTTCTGTTTAGGATGTAGTAGAAAGGGCTTATTCGTGGGTTTTGACCCACCTTTGTTGTTATC